CACTACTTGAATGACACCATCAAATCAAATGGGTTCAGAAAAGTTAAGGTTCTTCTGAACCGGTTGTCCGATCTGCAGTTGCTTCCTGTTACTTCTAAAAATAGAGGAAGTATTTCAAGGAGTCATCATTCCGCTTCCGTCATGGTTTGGGCTGGAATAACTCACACCGGCACCCCGTTGATCTTCATAGACAAAGGGGTAAAGGTGAACCAAGCAGTGTATCAGAAGCTGTTGACTGACTCAGTAGCCCTGGGCATCACAGCATTTCGGCAAGAACGATTGGAATTTTCAGCAAGACTGGGCGCCGGCTCATGGAGCAAAAAAGACTACTATTCTTTTTCCGAGCTTTTTGACGAAAGAGGAATGACCTTCCAACTCACCGGATTTGAATCCAATGGACTATTCAGTATGGTCTATCTTGGAGCCAAGAGCCTGCAGAACCCCGCATAAAGCACTGGAACATTTGAAAGCATCTCTTCTAAAGGTTTGGGAAGAAATATCTGAAGAAGAACTTGCGGCCATCGTGGATAACTTCCCGAAACGTTTGAAGACGTGTATCTCAGCACAGGGCAACCATTTTGAAATGAACAAACAAGACTGTTTTCTTCTATAAATATTGCTATAATACACAATGAATATTGATTTTTTAAGTTGTCAATTAAAGATATTTTGTTGTACGGATTATATATGGTTCTTTTTTTTTTTTTTATTATAGTCACTTTAACACTCTTGGGTCATTCGTGACTTGTCCGGGGGTGAAATTTGAACTCGTGACTTTGGCATGAGAGGTATGGATGCTAACCACTACGCCGGAGTCGCCCCCTCCCTGTATGGTTCCAATCATCCGTTATTCCGGTATTTTTCATGCTTTTAAAAATAAAACAAATGATTTAAGGATCACATCAATTTGTTATCGAAAAGTAAATATGAATTGAATAAGCAAGATCACGTTCTAATTCTAACCTCCATTTCGTCACTCTGCAGATCACGAATTTGTTATTAGATCGCGAAATTGAGGCACAGAGAAAAATGTTCAAAGTACCGATTTTAGACATTTTTTTACAATTTTAGGACAGTAATTTTTGGAGATCTGGGATATATATGAAGCGATATATTTAGCAACATGAAGAACTGCAGTCTAGAATTAAATGTACATGGATCTAGGTTATCCATGAGTATATTAATAAAAGATCCTTCTCTTCTTTGTGGTCGCTATAACGAACTGGTCGTCTTTTTACTTTGCTCAATTCCTCAAAAGAATCATAACTCTGGGATGTAGACATCTTTTCTAGATCGCAGTTTAAGAAAAAATCTCATTATTGTGGCACGAGGAAAATTAGATGGAACGATCACGGACATAAAACTAAATTGAATGTGTCTAGGACTTAAATTCTCGATCGTGAAAAATTAGAGAATAAGGAATACATTTTAGAGTTTAAAACAATCTAAGACCTGGACCTGGAATTTTTGTTTTTGTATTACCGGAATATTAGTATGGAAAAATACAATACAATTTTATGAAAAAGGAACTCAAGAATCTGTGACATGGTATTTTTTTTTTTCGATGTTTGGACAAATACTGGGGCTAGCAATCATCCTCAATGTGTAAAAACTGGTGATCTCAAACTTGGCAATACCAGCGCCTGCCGCGCCCTAACGCAGGTCAAGAAAGGAATGGGTAGAAATGTGTTGACGTGACACTCGCTTTGATGGAAGCCGAGAAATCCTCTGCACTTCCACGAGGAATCAGTGGGATGTTGGGTAAGAGGGTTGGGTTTTCGCGTACAAGATTATAAAACGTTTATTAACTAGGGGCATCCCACTCTAAACTATAGCTCTAGTATCAATTAAGTAATTCGAAGTATCTGATAAGTATTCTTAAGTATTTTTAAGTATTTTAAGATTTGGATTTTTTAATCGTAGTGACCGGTTACTAATGTAGTTGTTTGTTGTTGTATATTCTGTCAATGTATTACTTTTAATCACGTATTAAAACATATTTATACTAGTTTCAATATGTTTTAAATTAAATGAAGTAGTTAAATTCAATGTTTATAAGTAAGTATTTTAATTCTAGTTATGAAATAGTTAATCAAAAACATTTTACTTTCAGCGAACCAGTCGGAGCAGGGATAGCGAATTATTTATGATTTCGAACTAGCTGTTTAGTACGATATCAAACTTTTGAATTATATTGCTTAGCTGGAGGTTAATGGTGCCGTTGTCGTCCGAACTCGTAACTAGATTTCAAACTGAACTGCCAAAATAAAAGCGTATGTTGAATGTCTTCTTCTTCTTCATTCCTTTATTTAACGTCGGTCTCTGTTCCGCAATCTAGTGCCAATCACCGACGGACATCGATTGCAATCCATTGACGGCAATCGAATGTGCAGGAAGGCAGCTTCCACACCTGCGTAGGATATCGCACCCATTCAAACACACATGGGCCGGGACCAACGGCTTTACTTCCCTTCCGAAGGAAGACGTGACCAGAGATTTTTATGCCTCAGAAAAATCCCACCGACCTCGGCTGGGATTGAACCCAGACCCATTGGGTTACTTACACCACCGGCGCCGGCTATGTTGAATGTCAATTCGGCTAAGAACTATCGCAAGCTGCTTGATTATGAAATTCTTAACTTTAAGCAGGCCAAGGATACTAGGACTACGCTGGTTATTTGCCAGAGGGAGGACAATGAAGCATAACTACCAGCAATTCATTGTGCTGGTGGGCTCGAAGTTGAACTAATTGCAATTGGCACTGGTGGTCGTACCGTACCGCGTTTTGATAAATTTACATCGGTAAAGATGAGTTATGATGGACTGGTGAGGGAGTTGAGCGAGTTTCCTGATAGCAACCGAAGGCTTTATGTGAAATCAACATGAATTTCTCACTTTAAGTACGGATAAGAAAAGTAAGGATAAGAAAAATATTAATCTGTTCTGAAATTATAATTTATAAAAAAAACCATTGATTTACCAAATAAAACTATTTAGTTCCAAAACGTTACTTATTTGTACCAATTTCATGTAAAATAATCCTAAGTTAAAATGTATGAATTTATTTCAAACCATTCCCCAAACAGTCCAAATTAAAGTTTTAACACATAGCCATTTCTGATGAATGATAGAATCAATTAGAGAACGGTTCCGAGATTAACACGGAGCGAATATGTTGGTTTGATTATGTCCAGCCTTAATACGGCTTAGATCTTATTTTTGGCCTCTATTTTTATAATGATTTTTTTTCGCAAAATGGAATGTTCTCACTGCAGATGCCTTCCAAATTTATTGAACTTTCCGTACGTATCGTAAGATTTGATAAAGAGTAACACATTGTTGAGATATTGTAAAAAATCTAACACTGGTTCTTGACCCCAAACTCGGCATTCGGATTCTAAACACGGCCTAACGCATTGAAACGCCATTCAAACGCAATTGAATTCACTCTTTTGTTTTTTTGAGAATAATGGGTGCAAACATTCATATCACACTTTCTTATTGAATTCGTTCGGTAGATTTGGAACAGAAGTATCGTACCAAACGCATAATTGACTTGTTAACGCCGTAATCATGGTTTGATTTGATGTTTTCTGCTAAATAGGCCCAAAATGGGCGATTACACCGAAGTAGCTCTCTACCCTTATAAGTCTTAAGCAGGGAACATCGAAGGTTCCAAATCCGAGGAAATGTGATTCTCTTCTCATTCGACGGCAATCTAGGAGATGTGGCTTTGCGGATGGTGCAGAAAGCTTTCACAACTTCTTATTCAGCTTCAATCAGCGTAAAGGCCTGAAGTTTTCGTCCAACGGTCAAGAACCTAATGGACGAAAAATCCATTGGTTTTGGGATAGAAACATTTGCTCAGGGAATTTGCTTCCACACGCAGTTTTTTCCACAGTAACTCCCTGCTTTTGTAAACAAACACGTCAATCACCGATTTCTCGCGAATAAAAGCTCAATCTCGCAAACAAACTATACCAAATGATAGAGGAGTCATTCTTTGGGACCAGTTATGCGAGGTAGGCGACGATTTTTCATATTTGATAATCACCTTCCCCCTTGTAGAAAACATGTTGAAAGATTCATATAATCGTAAATTCTTCAGATGGACGTTCGGATCCTATGAAATATCGTTGAAAACTCACTTTTTAACAAATACCTTACAGCTTTATTACTTTTTTTTCCCGAGAAAAGAATAGACTAAGGAATCGCATCCCTTCTCTTCTTTCGTGCTGGTATCAGTGATTTATACTTTGCCTACTATAGTTAATAGATATCAGGATAAATCATGCATCATGTCCTTAGCTTCTTAGTAAAAAAAACCTACCACACACTTCCTTCGTAACGCGTTCAGTCACACACACTTACACACACACATATACATTCGACGAAGGACATACAAAACTACTGCTCTTTAATTACTACTCATTAGTTTTCGCTCCAACAGAACCGAAAATTATAAGAAACAAAACTTGTATTGTTTTAGTTTTTCTTGCATTTTCTTAGGAAATCACAACAACTATAGTAGTCATTAATATGGTTGTTAATTTTATATGCATATTTTTTATAAGTTGGAGATTTTTCTCGCTGCTTATCGATCACTGTCCTAATGCTTTTTTTTTGTAGTTTGAAAAGGGTGCGGGGGTGGGGTCAATAAGAATGGCCATAGTTTTATTCCTGTAATGTACTCGGTTTTTTTAAAAGACAAAAACAAAATCCCAATTCAATTGATAGATTCTTCGGGGGGAGTCTAGATAGATAGCAAAAGAAAATTTGTCACGGACAGAAATTACATTTCTCGATTCATCGTCCAAAAACATCTTAAGCGCTACTACTGCTACAACGCATCTCAAAACGACGCATGTTTGCTTGAATTTAATTGCTATACTTTTCTTCCGTTGCCGAATCTTTGTAATAAATCCAAAGAGAAAAAAAAAAGAAAGTTGATAGTCACTGACGAGGAAAAGCACTCCGCATATAATGGGTTCATTCGGTTCTTTCATGTGCTACAATGTGTTTCCTTTAAAACTAACATGTTCATTCATTTAAGCTGTACGTCTTCAGTAACATAACTGCTCTTGTTCTAAATCTTCCGTCTACTGCTGTTGTTGTTATTGTTATTCAAATTAACTATACTAGGTAATTCTCCTTTCTTAAAACTGGTTAATAGCAAATTTCGCATTCTTCATTTTCCTACTCACTAACGAGACAAAAAAAGCCAAACTCCAATTGCGCTTATGTTTTTTTTTATACGTTAATATGTATATATGCTTCTATATGTATATATATGTAGAAGGGGGATAACCAATCGGTACCCACAACTTGAAATGATTCCCTTTTTCCGAACAGGGAAATTGTCCAAATGAAACCCCTTTCAATCTCATGCATCCGTGACCTCAATTACCCAGTTCCCGCTTTCACCCCCCACTTCGATTCATTCTTCGCAGATGAATATATATAACCGTTATATATTGTTGTGTGTGTGTACCTCACCTTCCTCCTATTTTCTTAATGTAGCTTAAAATGAAATTCTATGTTTTGCCTTTTTACACAATTTGTTCCACGATCATCCTCGCCTAAATTCCGCGGTCTGTACATTTTACAAGTGCCATCTCTGCTACAACACAATCCGATCTGATCCTTAATTCGGCGAAGCGATCATCGACGAATTGACGCTCGTTTTCGCCCGTTTCGCCGTCGTCGAGGGTGACTTTTCGTTGAGCCGTTTCACCGCCGATGGAGACGATCCGGCGCCTGGACCACCGGTGGCCGGAGATCCCTTGGCTGACTGGGGGTCTGGAAAAAAAAGAACACAGAACAAAGGGTGGAATAGGTTAGAGCTATGAGCTTGTCGTTTGCGCAAAAAACGTTTGTTTTTGAACCCATCGTGTTGTTTTTTTCAATTGGGAAGCAAACTTTCGAAAGAATTTTAATTTCCTTGTAAAACATCAACTCAAATTTCAGCCCCGTATTTTTTTGTGCATGAATCAGGCCTTACAATCAGATCCTGATTGCTGAGCTTCATCGTTGATGTTGTCAGAGGTACACACACTTAGCTTTTTTGCCGAGATGGGGGCACCACCGAGCAGTTCGGCATTTTATTTTGCTGGATCTCAGTGAAAAACTCGCCGAGATCACAGCTAACAAGCATACATTTTGCTGAATCTCGGAAAGCCTTTCACTAAGATCCAGCAAAATAAAATGCCGAGCTGCTCGGTGGTGCCCATTTCGGCAAAAAAAATCCAAGTGTGGGCCACACACTACGAACGGGCGGAAACGAAGTCCGCAAGCAAGTGCTAAATTGGAACCCAACCGGGCTTGGCAATACATTTGCCCCCACAACGCAATAAAACCGACCCATTTCGACTCACCTTGCAACCACCTGACCTGCGTCGCCGGTCCGTAGCCCTTGTCGTTGCGCGCCGCAATGCGGAAGATGATCGCCGGCTTCGAGGTGTAATCCACGTGCGCCGTCAGCAGCGACTGATTCGGTACCGTACACTGATTGTTCGGCCCACAGTAAACCCGCACAAAGGCAAGCTGTGCGGATTGGTTCGCCTTGTCCTTGGCGTTCTGCGATTTGACCGCCAGGTAAACGGAATACTCCAGGATGTCACCGGTGGTCGATGGTGGGGGTTCCCAGGAGAGGTGCGCTCCCTCCGGTGATTTCGAGATCTTGATGGCCGACGGTGCCCCCGGGAATCCGGGCAGGCAGGTCTTGAATGGTGCGACATCACTCCAATCGCCGCGACCACAACTGTTGATGGCAGCAACCCGGAAGCGATAGGCGCAGCCCGGTTCCAGATTCACCCGCTTGAACTTGACCAAATCGGGCAGGTTATCGGCGGTAAGGGTGTCACCATCGTACAGGCAGTTCCACTCGTCGAAGTCGACAAAGTTGGACACGGTGTGCGAGAGGGTTTTGAAGATTCCTACGGTGAACCACTTTTCCGATTCGTCCTTGATTCGGATGACCTTGGGCTGGAATGGATTATTTGGTTACAATTTGCTGGGTAGAAAGGATATCACCGCAATCTACTACTCACCTCCTCCTTTTCATCCTTCGCTTTCGCGTTCATACCGCGCACCGTCTTGGTCATTGTAGTCACCTTATTGCTGGCTGCTGCTGCTAATGTGGTCGTAGTTCCGGGAATCGTTGTCACAACCGTCGGAACGGCGGGTCCGTTGCTACTATTGCTCAGGATGTTTGCTGGTGGATTGACCGGTGATTGCAGCAACGGTGACGACAACGTAAACTGCTTAGAGCCTGCATCAAAATATTTGATAGTAGTTGTCGTCGGTTGATGATGTTGCTGGTGCTGCGGGCTGGCAGCGATGGTCGTCGAAGCCGTCGAGGGAGTCGACGTGCTCATCAGATCGGACAGTACGGATGTAGCCGAAGCAGCAGCCTCCGCCAGGGCATCCAGATGGCCACCGGTACCGGTGTTGTTGACGGTCGAGGACGATCCCGAATCTTCCGACTTTACCATGGCACTACTGGGGAGTTGTGCAACCAGTTGAGTTCCATCGGCCAAGGTTGCCACCTGGGTCAGTTCGCTGCCATTGCCGGTCGTCTTGAAGGTTATAGTTTGCGATTCGTTAGAGAGTGCCCTCGTGAAACCCTCGATTGTACCACTGGACTGCAGCAGACCGGAGTTGAGTTGACTGAAAATGAGGATTTTTTTCTTTTCGTTAGGATCGATATTGCCGAAGCGACGACAGTCCCAAAACTGAATTCAATTTTACACTCACATAATATTGTCTCCACCGGATCCGGCGGCGGCGAGCAGGTCGGCATTTTGCAGCGAAAGCAGCTCTCCGCTTTTGATAGTGGTGAGAATGTTGGCCGCTTCGGTTTCCGAAGCCGTGGGAGCACTATTCACACTGACAACCATGGTGGTTGCCGTGGTCGTCGTACCGTCCGCGTTCATCAGTTGAACCGTTCCGGGGGTGACGGTCGTACCGATGCTGGACGTCGTGGCCGAATCGGCACTCAGGATAGCCGCCGTCGACGAGGCCGTGTCGTCGGACGTTAGAGCACCGAGGGCATTCTTGGACGCATCTTGCGTTGACGTCGCACTGCTATCCGGTTGATCTCCGAAGGACATCTGGATGGAAATTGGGAGTTAATTACACTTTGGTTACTATCTTTGTAATACGTTTCGTTTAAGTAATTCTACATGAAAACTAAAGCATGGGAAAATCGAAGGTCCTTCACCTTTCTGGAAAGCCCTTGACTGTTTTCGTTGATCAGACTTCGCTTTTTTATGAATCCTTGATTGCACACAGCATGTAGGTATGTTTTTAAATTCGTCGTAGAAAATTGTACCTCTCCGGTTGACAAAACAAATCGAATGTCCTACGTTGTTAGGCGTGAACGCGAAATACAAAAGCCAGAATCACAAAAGACAGTCTCGTAAGGCTGAATCACATAAGGGTACTTTAAGTTATAGCTTTTCGGGTGACGTCATTTTTTCCAACTTCCGAAAAACTGACAGCGATAAAAAATACACACGGCGAATGTGAACGACCCAAGTTTGAGTTTAGTTCACTCATAATCGCCAAAAGTGCAGGAACTCAGCGATGAGTAAATTGCCTCATGTTTTCCCAGGTTTTTCTAGGGAAAAATTCCCGAATTTGAGAAAAGTAAAGATTGAATTCACTCAGTCTATTGGTACTACTCCGAGACTGCATAAAATTTTCGTCAATTTCTTCATTTTCCGGCAGATTTTTTAGGTTTTCCACAGGACCCCATGAGACAAATTTCACTCATCGCTGAGTTCCTGCACTTTTAGCGATTATAAATGAACTAAACTCAAATTTAAGTCGTTCTCATTCGCCGTGCAGTGTAAACAATATACTCTAAACTACTTCTACCCAAATTTTCAAGAGAATATACCCAATGGTTAATGGTCTACAGCGTTTTTTCCGTGATGCAATTTGATGTGGGGCACCCTTTAGTAGCCTGCTTTACGCTATCGATCAGTTCGTGCCAAAAAAAATCTCAGTCGTAAACCTGCCAAGCGCGCTGGGTCGAACTCCGAACTCCGAACTCAAACGTTTGAAGCGGCTGAAAAGGGCCGCATTTAGGAAACATAGTAAACATTACACGGATTCTACGAAAGCAAATTACGAACGCGCTAACAAAGGCTAAAAACGCCTCAATATTAGCTTCATCAGTCTCAAATGCTATGTGAACGAGCAACGGAAAGAAATGGGACTGCCAACTCTGTCGCAATTCAGCAGTGTTTTTTTCAGACGAAATTCCTAATGCACAGGATATTGCATCTGCCACTAGTAACGTCACACATTCGTCTGTGTTCAGCTCTCCATTCACCATCCACAGTGAAATGGTGATTTCAGCAGGGAAGCAGATGAAAACCTTAACGGGATCTGGTCCCTCACTAGTCCTAAAACGCTGCTTAAACACTTTCGCGACGCCCTTAACCCCGGTCTCCAACCTGTCATTGACATCTGGAGGTTTTTTCCTGAGTGCTGGAAGGATTCTTTTGTTTTCCATATTCACAAAAGGGGTGCAAACGGACAGTTGCTAATTACCGCGGTATAGCTGCACTAAGAGCAATTTCCAAACTATTTGAGTTATTGTTCTGGATAAGTTGGTTAAAGACTGCTCGCATAGCATTTCACAGGATCAACACGGTTTTATGCCCAAGCGTTCAACGACGACCAATCTAACCGCCTTTACATCGTTCATTATCCGTGAGATCGATATATATCGACCTCTCTGCTGCTTTCGACAAAGTGAACCATGACTGTGCCATCGCTAAATTTGACTAAAATGGGTGTTCACGGCAATCTACTATTACCTGGCTTCGTTCCTATCTGACTATCAGATCTATGTCTGTTAAGATTGGCGATTACGCTTCCCTGCCGTTCCTTTCTTTTCCCTGTTGTATATGAATGATGTAAACCTGATTGTCAAATGCCTTAAACTATCGTACGCCTACGACTTGAAGCTCTACTACATAATAAAAACGGCCTCAAGACGCCCACTTTCTACAACAGGAATTAGAAGTTTTTGATGATTGGTGCCTGATTAACAGGATGTCATTGAATGTGTCCAAGTGCTCGGTCATATCCTGCGATTTACTTGCATGATTACGCCTTAAAAGGGACAAACTTGAAACGCGAATCAACCACACCGCTTATGTCGTATCTATGGCTTCATCGCACCTAGGATTTTTATTCCGTTTCGCCAAAAGCTTCAAGGACATGTGCCTGAAGGCGTTATATTGTTCTCTTGTTCTATACTGAAATAATCAACCGTTGTCTGGTCTCCATTATATCAAAACGCTATCCAGAGGATTGAAGCTGTTCAGCGAAAATTTGTGCGAGCTATGAATATCGCTGTAAGCTCATCGACTTGACGCTACTGGAAGGAAGGCGCAACGTAGCTAAGGCTTGTTTCATCGGCGATCTTCTGCAGGGGAACGTCGACTGCTCTACACTTCTTAGTCTCCTTGAAATTAACATTCGTCAACGCAACCTCCGTATGCATGCTTTCTTCAACAACCGGCATTCAAGGACCAACAATGGTACACACACCAGTGTTGAGTATGTTCCACGTTTTCAATAATTGTTACAATAGTGTACAGAGCGAAAGATCGAGAGTAGAACTTGGACTGGGAACTGGAACCCGAGAAAACCACAAACTTATTTGCCTTTCGTAGGATCGCGAATATTCCGGTAAATCGAACGACGAAATATAAAACGCGACCGATTATTACTTCTGATCGTTTATTAATGTTTGTTCATACAAAAGTGCAAGAAAGTTTTACTCTTGGTTCAATGAATAGCTTGTAGACCGGTTGGGCACCGAGGGGTCGACGCGTTGATGGATTACCAACATGCTCCCCACCTTGAGCCAACAGCTCAATCAGGAAGTGGACACAACTTCTGTACCCGGACGTTGATACTCCGACTTGCCTCTGCGTAGAGTGACGGTGCGAACCAACCCTTGCTGATCCGGATGCACTGTCACGGTGCGAGCCAACTCCCAAATTGACGGTGGGCTGTTATCGTTCTTCACGATCACCAACTGCCCAGGCTTCAAGTTGTCCTGACTCATTCGCCACTTTCCTCTGGGTTGCAACGTGGCGATGTACTCATCACGCCATCATTGCCAAAACTCCGCTGTGTACCGTTGAACCTTCTGCCAACGGTCCAACTGATTCATCCTGATGTGGGTTAAGTCTGGTTCAGGCAGCAGATTCAAGGGCTGCCCGACCAGAAAATGTCCTGGGGTAAGTGCTTCGAAACTATCAGGATTCGACGACATTGGGCAGAGGGGTCTCGAATTGAGACAGGCCTCCACTTGACACAACACAGTTGATAGCTCCTCGTAGGTAAGTTTCTCATTTCCAACGACGGGACGAAGCAACTCTTTTGCACTCTTCACGGCTGCTTCCCATATGCCACCTTGATGTGGGCTTGCCGGTGGAATGAATCTCCACCGAATTCCGAGGTTGGTGAAGAAATGTTCCGCTTGCTTGACGTGCTTCATGACCATCCCATAAATCTCCTGCAACTGTCGATCAGCGCTTTCCAAATTCGTGCCATTGTCTGACCACACTTCGTTACAGTATCCACGGCGTGCGATCATTCTCTTGAACGATCCCAAAAAAGTCTCGGTGGTAAGGTCTCCTGCGACTTCCAAGTGGATGGCTTTACTCGACAAGCAAACAAAAACGACGATGTATCCTTTCATGCACCGTGCTCCTCGCGTGTTACTACACCGCACCAGAATCGGACCAGCATAGTCCACACCAACATGGGCAAAAGGGCAACATGCTGTCACTCGTGCTGCTTGCAAACTCCCCATCAATTGTTTTGCTGTTTGCGCCTTCTGACGACAACACGTCATACAGCCTTGTATCACCTGCTTAATAACCGTCTGACAACCTTGGATCCAATAACGTTGGTTTATTGTTGCTGTTATCAAAGTTGGCCCAGCGTGGCAGTTGTTGATGTGAATTTCCTTTACGAGAAGTTTTGCTTCTTTTGGGACGATTATCGGGTGCTTGACATCGAAGGAATACACCGAGTGCTGTAATCGCGCTCTAACCCGGAGCGTGCTGGTACTATCCAGGTAAGGATACAAGCTTGAAATGCTGGATTTAACTGGAACTTCCTCTCCGCGTACCAGAGCCTTGATTTCACTTGCATAGGAATCCTGCTGCGACAGTCGTACAAATTGCATTCGAGCCTGATGCAACTCCGATGGCAAAATAGGACCGGATTGCTTGTCGTTACCGGTTACCTTGCATCTAATGTTGTAGACGAATCTCTGAACGCGGGCCAGCTGCCAACACGCCACGCTAAGATCGGATCGTTGCTCGAGGATTTCCTTCTCAATGACGTTGCTTGTGGCTGGAAGACTAACGAAAACATTGAGTGATTGAAAACGTTTACGTACCTCCAGTGATTGTTCGTCGTGTGTTTCGTCTGGTACGTTTCGTTTCCACATAGCTGAATCATCGGACAACCATGCGGGCCCCGTCCACCACAGGGGATGGTTGACAAGTTCCAGCGGAGAGATCCCGCGGGAAGCGCAATCAGCAGGATTTTCGTTCGACACAACATGTGCCCAGTGCTTTCTCGGCAAGATGTCCAGAATCGAAGAGGTTCTATTCGCTATATAGGTGTTCCACTGCAAAACGATGGTAGAATCCGTCCACGTGTACTGTTCGATCTGGTATCGCTTGAGTGAATACGCCACCTGCTTCATCAGTTTTTGGCCTCCATTGAGCTCCAGACGTGGAATGGAGATTTGTCGTACAGGAGCGACCTTGGTTTTCGCTGCCATTGCTAGGAACCCTGAGTTCTTAAGACCGTAGGTGACGGTACGAAGACGAAAATGCTGAATCGGTTTGTCAGGAGATTCTCGCCATACGATGCGTAGGTAGTCCGTATCGTCAGGGTGCACCCAACCTGGCGGTACATTTTTTCGACATCCGCGATGAATACCACTAAGAACAATCGGAATAGCAGAAGTACTACAAACAGATCGGCGCTGATGTTCGGGGCATCTAGTAACATATCGTTGAGGGATGTTCCAGTCGTGGTAGCAGAAGAAGCATCGAAAACCACTCGAAGTTTTGTGGTTACGCTGTCCTCCTTTACGACGCCATGGTGGGGCAAATAGTACGATTTCGAACAGTCCACGTTGATCGCCGCTGGCGGTACAACCTGCATGTGGCCCAATTGCTGGTACTCTTGCATAAACGATAGGTATCGTTGCTTGAAACTGCTGTCGTTCTCGAATCGGCGTTCCATCGCTCTCAACCGCCTTGTAGCAGCGGCCAGCGAATTTCCGAGTTTGAGCTTTGAATCATCCATAGGCAAACGGACGATAAAGCGACCTTCCTGCGAGCGCGTGAGCGTGGAGTTGAATTCTTCAACCACCCCTTGCTCATCCTTGGTGAGCTGCTTGGGACTGTGAAGCTCTTGATCCTCCCAAAACAGCCGCAGAGTGCGATCGATATCAACCTCTTGATGCAGATTGAGTACCGAATGATAGGTGTGAGCACACCCTTGCTTCGAAATCTTTCCTGCAACCATCCATCTAAAGACGGAACACTGTCCTACAGGATTTCCGTTGTGATCCTTGACCTGCCCTGGCTCTACTAACGAAAGGAAAACATCAGAGCCCAGGATGATGTCCGTTGACCCAGGCTTGTTGAACTGCGGGTCGGCCAATTGCAGACCCTCCAGGTAAGGCATGTTTGAAACGCTGAAGTGCTGACACGGCAGTGTTGCCGTGAGCTTTCCCAATATGTAAGCTTGAGTGACGAGTTTCGGTCCATCTTCGAAACGCGATGAGATCACGAGTGTAACCTTGCCGGCGGTAGTGCCGACAACCTCGGCGTTGACACCAGTGACTTCCAATGTAGCGTTGCTACGCCTCAAACCAAGACGCTTTACGCACGCCTCCGTTATGAACGACACCTGTGAACCACAGTCAATAAGAATCCTCACCTCGTGCAGCTTGCCGTCACTCCCTTTAATCCGTGCCACCACTGTGGGCAGCAGCGTAACTTCCCATTTCTCGCCCAGCGATTGCGCCGAGTTGACATTCACCGATGCAAGAGCTGATCCGAACGAGCTTCCTGGTTTGATTGATCCTGATTCGGCTTCTTCTCCGGTTGCTTCGCTTCCTGTGTGCACAGTAAAGTGTGATGCCGTTGCTTGCAGTCTGCAGAGCGGCATACCGATTTCGACGGGCACTTCTTTGCCGAGTGGAAAGGACGCAAACAGTTGAAGCACAGCCTTGCCGATTGTGCCACATCCCTGCGCGCCATGACATCCATTTTCTTGAATTGCTCGCAGTGATAGACCGGATGGTCTTTCGAGCACTTTGCACACGCTGTCGACGATGAGTTGGTGTGAAAAACTTGCACCCTTTCACCAACGTGTGGCTTCGTGTTATCCTTCTTTGCGGCATCTCCCTGGCTTGGTCGCTTCGTGAATGCTGTGCACGTTTCGAGTGCATCGCAACGATTCTGCAGGAACTCCAGAAAGTTAGTAAAGGTTGGACTGTCGACATCAATAATTTTCTGAGCCCACAAAGACCTTGTTTCCCTGTCAACTTTCTCCAGCAGTAGGTGGATGAGCCACGGATCTCTCGATTCGAATTCGTTCCCGAGTGCCTTAAGCTGTAGGTGGACATCCGCTCCTGCCGTTCCTCCAGGTACGATGTGTAAATACCCTTTGCCTTGAAGTAGACTTCATCGAACTGCAGCCGGTAGTTGAATACCGACGCTACATCTTCCAAGTGACTGGTGCTCTCTTCAATCTCGGTTTGAATGGTTTCGAAGTTACCAGCAAGTTCCGTGAGTTTATCCTTCCGTTCCTGCACCTCTTCGTAGGTGGGATTCCGAGTGTTTAGGCTTTCAGCAACGGACAACTCCCATTTCGCTTTCGCGAACATAACCTCCCGCTTCGCGCGCAACTTATCCACGTCGTGTGGTTCCATCACATCCGTTTCGAAGGACCAATGTACAGAGCGAAAGATCGAGAGTAGAACTTGGACTGGGAACTGGAACCCGAGAACACCACAAACTTATTTGCCTTTCGTAGGATCGCGAATATTCCGGTAAATCGAACGACGAAATATAAAACGCGGCCGATTATTACTTGAATTTCATAACCATTCTGACCAGCGCTTTCTCAACACGAAAAACACAAAACGTATAACGTTTGACAGCAGATGATGCAATGACCTTCTCATCTCCGGTTTTAACTTGGATTATTTCTCAATTCTGGCCAGTTATGCAAATAAACCAACCAACCGACAGTATCCTCAATTCTTTCCGAGTTACCGACGTATCTTCACTGCAAAACAAAAACTGGTGTATCTTGTATGGTGTATTTTGTTTTGTCAAAAGTCTTGTCCATGCTTGCAAAAACTCAACATTTTTCATAATTCTCTTAAATGTCATCCCTGTATCCAACTTAAAAGCAGAAACAGATTTTAAAAACTATTTAGGATTTAATCCTAAATCAATCCAATGTTTCTAATTTCCTAGTAAATGTTACATATGTCCTTTTGGAAAGTTCTGCTTGAATTGTTAGTTCAGTTAGTTAGTTAGACAGATGAAATTGAGGAGAAACTAACAGACCAAACCAAATGTTTGATTTTTTTTAATATTGGAAAATCATTCAAAGCGTTTTTTGTTACTTCATACGTGAAGTTTATGATTTTCAGAGTTCGTTGGAAATGCAATACTAATATCAACATGAAGCTTCAGAGTGATAATTTATTAACTAGAGCAAGTTCTGAAGAGGATAGGTTGATAGCAGTGGCGTTGCCTTAACCTCAATCTACCTGTGCACCAACTCTCAAAACATAAACAATTATCGAAATATTGCTTACAATGCATAGATATCGAGTAAACTAGAAGATTAAATGTATTTTTCAAACAATTCGAGTATGAATATGGCATTAAATCTGGTTTTGAAAGTTGGTGCACAGGTAAAAAGTGAGATTACGAGACGCCACTGGTTGATAGTACCGCTAGAGTACGGCAGTGTGAAAATTGAATAGAAGTTTAAATTAAGCGAAGGGTCATGTATGCCAGAATGTAGCAAACATGTTGCCAGGAACATAGCTGAGTTCCCTAGAACCGTCCAGATTTTCTTCAAATTTAACTTAAAAAGGTCCCCGTACTTAATCGAGAAACAAGTATCACTGATTACAGTTCCAATGATGCCATAGTATTCTTCTAAAAAATAGACAGTTTCCGGATTTGTCCATTGTATAAAACTGCTGTTGTGAATATATTAAAAAAAATCTTTTCATATTTAAATTTAACTATTTAAATTAGAAATGGAATTAGCACAAAGCCAATCATAAATCTAGTAATGAATTACCTAGGCGTTACTAAAACAACATATCTACTACGTTTGGTAAAAAAATACTATCAACTTATTTAAGCAAAAGTCAAAGCACTCACATTATCCGTCGATTCCGCCGGGAGTCCGCTCTGGCCTGCATCCATACCACCGCTTCCCGCCAGCAGCGTAGAGTCCTGCATAGAATGATCCGCCGATTGATGCGCGGCTGCCGCCTCGCTGGCATCTGCTTCCGCTCCGTCCACCGATTGATGTTGTTGCAGTTCGCCTCCAGTTTGGCTGGAGTCTACTTCGCCCGTTCCGTCTTCTGCCGTACCATCGCCACCACCACTCGCAAACAGTTGCTGCTGTTCGTCTAGACCAGCCGAAGAGACACCCTCATCGGCTGCCGATGCCTGATCAGCCTGTGGGTCCTGATCCATCGGTTCCGCAGCACTTGCTTCGGCTCCTTCTCCGGCTGCCGCTGTACCTTCGCCTAGCGGTTCCCCTTGTCCGAGTGGGTCTTGTTCGTGCTGCTGCTGCTGCTGCTCTGGCGATTCCCCATCGTGATTTTCGATCGCAGCTGCACCTCCAAATAAACCTAGCCGTACGTACCGAGGTGTCCCCCTGGATTCTTCATCCTTCATGACGACGTCTTCATCATCATCGTCGGAAGACAGGAAATCATTGCATCCGTCCAGCTGTTCAATGATACCGGGCCAGAGTTTCATCTTTTTACTTGCGGAAGCACCTTCCAAGTCTACTTCCACAATTCGAGCACCCAGGTCGTCTTCATCTTCGTCCGATTCATCCTGGAACAGATCGAAGCATCCGTCCATCTGTTCAATCTGATCGCCATCGTTCTCAATGAGACCGGCTTCAGCTGCGAGGGCAGCAAAGGCAGCATCCGTCGAGACTTGTTCCTGCTGCTGCTGCTGCTGCTGTTGTTGTTGTTGTTGCTGCTGCTGCTGTTGTTGTTGAAGTTGTTGCTGCTGTTGCTGTTGAAGTTGCTGCTGCTGTAGCTGAATTTGTTGATACTGCTGCTGCGTAACTATCCGCGTGGTCGTTTTCGATGGCAACATCACGATTTTCTGCTGGCCGTGAACACCGGTCATGGTTGCTCCGATTCCTCCGGCGGAACCACCTGTTCCATGCGACGATGGAACAATGGTTACCGATTTCTGTCCTCCTGCCGAGGGTGCCAACTGAACGGTCACAGTTTTACCGCCGATCGTGAGAGACTTCTGCTGCATGTTGATAATTTGAGTTCCGCTGAGTTTCTGACCCGCTGCTTGGAGACCGACAGGAACGGTGAAGGTGATGGGTTTTCCGCCCTGAACTGCCCGAAGCTTGATGGCTTGTCCTCCGATGTTAGCTGTTCCGCCGGTTCCAACCGTGCCCGCTTGCAGCATGGTTGCCCCACCAATAGTCGTGGCACGGGATGTCGATATCGTATTGATCATCTGTAAAGGGTAAAGTTACTGTTTAGAAAACATCATGGCTTCTGGGAGGTTGTTTGCGATTTTAATTACCTGTGAAGTTGACAGCGATACGAAGTTATTGGCCGACGAGGTGACGGTTCCACTGACTGTGCGAATACCCTGTGGAGTAGTCACCACAATGACCTGTTGATTGCCGGTTCGGATCTGCTGGCCGGCTTTGTTCGTAATGACCAACGTTGGCTTACCGGCGACATTCGTGCCAACCTTCCCAACCTGAACAATGTTAGGGTTCTTCATCAGAATTTGTTTGCCACCTATCGTTCCGGTGGATGACATCAACTTGACCACGTTGCCTCCGATGACGGCCGTCTTTTGGCCGCCAACGGTAGCCTGCTGGAGGGTTCCACTTCCTCCGAGCATGTTGGAAGTGACAATCTGCTGCTGCTGCATAGTTCCTGCCATCGTTCCCTTCTGTAGAACGTTCATCTTCGGTAAGGTTTGAACCGTCATTCCTTGGCTGGTCTTGACCAGTGTCACTATTTGCGGCTGATTGGAATTGTTCATTGAACCGGTGGTATTTCCGCCGGTTCCACCGACGATAGTAAGTGGCTTCTGCAGGATTATCTGCTTGCCACCTATCGTTGCGGTGGTCGTCGTGGATCCCGCTTGAGCACTGACGATCCGCTGCTGTTGCTGAAGTTGCGTTCCAGCAGTAACAATATTCTGTCCTCGAAGGACCGTTGCCGTCTGTTGACCGGTAATTTGCTGAACATTCGCTGAACTGACATTAACTGACATCGGCTGCTGGGTAGCGATTCGTACCTGTTGCCCGGTGGATGAGAGAACACGGATAGGAGTTCCGGCACCGGTAGTAATATGTTGAGCATTGGAAATCGTGCCAGTTCCACTGACCACCCGGATCGTCTGCGGTTGCTGCTGGGTGATTTGGGTGACTTGCTGCTGTTGAACGTTCTGCTGGGCTTGGACTTGTGCCTGGATGATCTGCGTCGGTTGCTGCTGCAGAATCGGAGACGTCGGTGTTAGCACTTGTTTCTGTTGTTGCTGCTGCATGGGTTTGGAAGCCTGCACCTTGGTTACGATTCGTTGCACCGGGGGCGAACTGATACTGTGCACCGGGGAGGATGGTACGGCCACGGCTACCGGCGTCGGAGACTGCATGCCCGGTGGATTGTGTACCGGACTGCTGATGGCTTGCGTTGCCGACTGGAGGATGTTCGGACTGGCACTGCCGGCCAACGGCGAGGGTGACATGGCAATCGGCGAAGCGGCAGCACGACCCGGAAGGGTTTTCATTACTAGAAAAGAAGGGAGAGAGAGGGGGAGTTCAGTAAATTTGATGATGATGAAGATGAAAGGTGCCAGTTACCACCGAGATCGAGAGGGAATTTCGAGGGTAGGTTGAGAGGACTTTAGCGTTTTAGAAGACAGACAGCGAACTTTGATAACAGGTACACGGAACATTTAGGGTAAGTCCGGCAATCAATTACAAATCCAGTGTACTTCGTGAACAGGTCTGGTGGACTCCAGGGGTAAGTCCAGAGTAATTCGATAACAAGTTCAGATGCCATCAAAAGCCGATTCGAAGCACTTGAAGAACTTGTTCGGGATGTTTTCAGTGGACTTTGAGTACGGGTCTCACAACACCTTGGGTTCGGCGTTGGCTGAGCTACCTCAAATGAATAAGTTTAAAGTGTTGTGCTACATTACACCGAGTGTCACTTTTCCGAACGGCCAGTACCCCGAGGAGATTCGTTTGATTGCTGCTCGGCGTTCTGGGATATAAGACGCTAATCTCGAACTATCCTCGATTTAGCTAAGCACCATCTGATCAGAAGTTATGAACTTCTGGTCGGAAATTCCCCTAACTTCTTGTAGGTAGTTCTTTGAACTGTTCATCGAACTTCAGGGAACATTGATGAAGTTCTGTGAACCTTAGGGATTTTTCAAGTACTCTGACCATTAGGGAAGTTCTGTAGACTTTTCGTCGGAAGTTCTGTGAACATTTGTTCGGAAGTTAAGCGTTCTGTGAACTTAGAATTTCGCCTGAACATCAGAGAACTTCTGGTGCCCTTTCCATGCTTGCTGCATCACTAGAATTGAATCCGTTCAACGCAAGTTGGTGAGATATGCTCTTCGTTTCCTCAACTGGCGTGACCCAGACAAACTTGCCACCGTACGAGCGTTGCCGTCTGCTGGAAATCGAACCATTAGAGGTGAGACGGACGGTCGCTCAAGCTATATTCGCTGGAAAGCTGCTTACGGGTGACATTAACTATCCAACACTGCTGTCTCAGCTAAATATGTATGCCCCTGAGAGGCCTATTCGCCAACGCGACTTTCTGTTTTTGGAACCACGGCGCCGAAATTATAAACAACACGAGCCAACTCGAGCAATCAGCCGGCAACTCAACAACTTCTTTTATATGTTCGATTTCAATGTATCAGCTGACGTGTTTCGTCATCGGTTACTTGGCCTTTTCCGTACCTTTGACCCTAACCATTTAGTTTAACAATGAACAAATAACCTCTGAACTTTGGTGGAGCTTTCAACAATGTTATGAAGTTTTCCCATCTCTGAAATTTTCGGGGAGCATCTTTTTTTGGCATCCGAGAAAATAGTGTTGCATGAAAGTTGCCACCGCAGCGTATGTCGTACCCGATCCAAACCGTCGATGTGAAGACGATTGTGAATCAATCCACCGAAATGAAGTCGATCAAGAAGCCAACCCTGATGCATTCCGTGAAACCTTCACGTGAAGTGGATAATCCAACCGAACTCTTGAAGGCGAAACCCATGATTATGCCGTTGAACTCCCATTGTGGACCGACCGAGGTCCGGCTAGTCGATGATTCACCTCCACCTGCCAGTGCGGCCGAGTACGGTAATCCTGCCGATACTGAAACCAAGCTGACAAGCACACCTCGTGACCTACAGTGTACGATTGACGATGAGGTTCCAAGCTGACGATGTTAAGCTCAACTCTGTGTGCAAGCCAAATTATCTTCCTCGTGGATTGACAGAGGACCGTTACGTCGAGAATTCAACCAAGTTCGTAGAAGTCAAGCCTAATAACATGGCAAGTGAACCAACCGAGTGCCATGTCAATAAGGACTCACCTCAAGTCATGGATGTAAAACCGAAACCGTTTAAACCTCCCGAAGCAACCGAAGTCAATCCCAAGCTATTCCAAGACGACTTTCAAGCCATCGAACCGAAGTCCGTCGCAGCTGGTGAAATGCCGCAAACAATCCTAACCTCAACTGGAACCAGACCGGTCTTGAATTGTATCCCCGCCGGAAACCATCCGGTGTTGATGCCTTACCCGATATCTGTTGGAATCCTTCCAGTAATCAAGCCATTTCTGAAGGCCGCCAGAACTCATCCGGTGATCCAAACGTTCCCGATGTCCACTGGAAGCTGCCCGGTGGTCAAGCCATTCTCGATGTCCACCGAAACCAATTCAGTGGCCAAGCCCTTCCTGATGTCCACCGGAACCAATCCGGTGGTCAAGCCGTTCTCGATGTACACCGAAATCAATTCAGTGGCCAAGCCGTTCCTGATCTCCGCCGGAATCCAGCCTGTGATCAAGCCCTTCCTGATGTCCGCCGGAACCAAAGCGGTAATCAAGCCATTCCTGATATCCACCGGGACCCGTCCGGTGGTCAAGCCGTTTCAGATGTCCGCTGGAACCCGTCTGGTGGTCACGACCTTCATGATGTCCACTGGAACTCGTCCGGTGTTCAAGCAGTTCCCGATGACCCTTGGAATTCATCAGGTAAACAAGCCGTTTCTGATGTCCCCTGGAAACCATCCGGTGAAAAAGCCGTTACCGATGTCTGCCGGAACCCGGCCCATGTTCAAGATGTTTCCTATGTCTACCGGAAACCGTTCGGTATTCATGCGGTACCCGAAGCCAACCGAAAAGTATTCGGTGTTCAAGCCGGTCCCGATATCAGCTGGAATTCACTCAAGGCCAATTCTGGAGCCAAGTGCACTCCTTCCGTTACCGACGTCTGAGAAACAACAAATAAGATATCCACCAGACAAGCCAAGCTCAGTTAATCCTGCACCGAAGATGCCCTATCCTGGTTCCATCGATATCGTTCCAATACCAAAGCCTGAGGAGCCACCGCCAGAGGATCTTTCCATTCGACAAGGAACCAGCAAGCTCAGACTGAGAACACTACTTTGCGCCGCTCACCTGCTAACCCGGTTAGTACAGAAGGTATTACCAGTCCTGGATATGGAGTTCCAAGAAATTGTGCTATGGTGCGAAGTACGACAGTGCTGGCCTGGATCAACAAACCGCTCAACCAACTACAGTCACTCGGAAGAAACCGAATCGACGTGATCCAGAAACAAATCGATATCGTGTCTTGGTGGAGTGGTTCCAGACCAGATGCTATATGCACCGAAAGCAGTTATCGTCAATCCAGATGACCCAATTGACCTGAAGAAAAAGCAGCCGTTGTTCATCCCGCACCCACGCCAGGCAACCGAAACAATTATTACAAAAGTGGTTCAGTTGGTCCATTTGGCGGAAGACATTCAGCGAGTTGTTGCCCACGACCCTTGCAAGAAATTGGCAAACCTGCATCCGATCTACACTGATGGCCTGGAAGCGTTATACGATCTGAGCACCGATGCCTTCCTGGCCTTCTTCCAGCGTTTCATTGGACGACGAGGAATGGTGCAGCAGCAGCATTCGGATAATGGTACTATTTTTCAAAGTACCCACCCAGAAATGAATACCCTACTACCCAGGAATCTTCCGTGAAAACCTGGTTGTTCTCCACTACCATCGAAAAATCAGCCCCCACTGGAAGTTGGGTTGCATCACAACCGTTGCAGGAAGTTCCAGATACCGACGCCCAATCAGCAATTCTAGAAAATCGTTGTTAATCGTTGAGTTACCTCAACCGGGGGAGTATGTTCCGTCTCCGCTGAAAGTCAATGGTTACGAACACCACCAACAAGCAGCGAAGAAGGAGAGCATCAATAGGGTTCATCATCCACCATGCCGCTTTAAAAGAGGCATGCATCACCGTGCAAAAGAGCAACCATCGACTACGATGTCCATCCGGGGACGTCCGAAGATGTTGACCGGTGTCTACAAACCATCGAGGAGGCGATTTCCCGGGCCAGGGAACAACACGTGCCAGTATCCAGACAGGTGAGTAACACTCTGAACCTTGACAGCCCTACCAAAGATCTCATTAGACTCCGTAACACCATTCGTAGGCAGTACCAGCGTACTGGCCTGCCTAACTTGAAGACCAATTGTAATCGATTAACAAAGATCATTCAGGCCAGGATGGTGGATCTCAGAAATAACGATTTTGCTAGTAAGATCCGCTCTCTCCCAGATTGTGCTAAGCCCTTCTGGAAACTTACAAAAATTATTAAAAACAAGCCTAGGCCCATTCCACCACTGACCCCACTGGATCGTCCCGGCGACCCAGTGGTTCATCTGATAACTCCTGAAGAGAAGGCTGCCGCGATAGGTCAACACTTCGTCAGCTCCCATAAACTCGGACAAAAAATCGTCAGCGCTCATGAATCTGAGGTTGCTGAAAATGCAACCAATCTTCTTCAGATTCCTTACATTTTTTGTCAGAGAAATCCGAGATTACGGCTGACGAACTGTTGGCCTATATCAAATCATCTAAAAACATGAAGGCCCCAGGTTTCGACAACATCCTGAATCTGGAACTCAAACACTTGAGTTCCAGATTCTACAACCATCTGGCACTGATTTTTAATCAGTGCCTCAGACTTGGCTACTTCCCTTCGTGTTGGAAGTCAGCTAAAGTCATACCCATCCGGAAACCGGGGAAGGATCCGTCCTCTCCTTCAAGTTATCGACCATTCAGCCTTCTCTCAGGGTTACCAAACTGTGTTCCACTGGCTCCTAACATCTGCCGATGAAAACAACTTGTTACTCGAGGAACAGTTTGGTTTTCGGAAAGGTCGTTCAACCGTCCAACAGCTGACTCGAGTAACAAACATTCTCAGACGGAACAAGTCGGCGTTGTTGGACGGTGAAAAAGCGTTCGACAATGTCTGGCATGATGACCTGGTGTTCAAATTGCAGCAGTACGGTCTTCCAATATTCCTAGTGAAGATAATAAACAACTATCTATCAGACAGGACGTTCCCGAGTCTTTATGAATGGCATCACATCGGATGCTTTCAACATCGGTGAAGGGGTTCCACAAGGAAGGCTCCTTGACCCCATCCTATTCAACCTGTTCACCTCCGATATGTCGGCTCTCTCTGATGGTGGATCGTTGTCTCTGGTCTACAAGGGTAGGGTCATCGGAGCTCTGACTGCCAAACTTCAGAGAGGCCTGGACGTCTTGTCTGAGTATTTCAACAGCTTGAAGATCCGTATCAACGCGGCAAAGACCCAGGTCATCATCTTTCCACACTCTGAATCTCCCAGACTTATCCGTCGGATAATAATAAGATCTGCCTGAACGGCACAGTGGTGGAACGGTCCAAAGTGGTCGTGCACCTCAGGCTAACACTACACAGCAAGGTTCTTTTCAGGGAGCACGTTGACAAAACGAAAACCAAGTGCAACATCTTGATAAGATCGTTGTATCCACTTATCAACAGGAAGTCAACCCTGTCCCTGAAAAATAAGCTTGCTGTCTACAAACAAATTATCCTTCCTGTAATCGAGTACGGGATTCCAATCTGGAGGGAGAGTTGCGCAAAATGCTATCACCTTAAACTCCAAAGGATCCAGAACAAGATCCTTAGGATGGTCCTAAACAGTCCCCCGCGGACTAGAAATTCTGAGATCCACTTCCTGGCTGGAATTCAAACATTAGAAGAACGGAGAGTATTCAGGTTCAGAGACACCTGTCTGAGATCAAATCATCAGATCATACGTGATCTAGCACGTTAGCACATAACATATGTGGAACTGCATGCAAAATAACTTTCTAAAAGTTGACCCCTTTTTGGTGTTGCCTCAGTGGTATAAATGGTATAGTTGGGCATCGATCTGTCAAAACAAAATTTTCGGGATATCGACACTGTGCGTTCATAAGGACCAGTGTCGAAAACGTAAACAATGGCTTCTTTCGTATTTTTCTTGTAGCTCAAAGTCATTCCATGTAAGCCATCAATTCCATCGGATAGGGGGACTCTCCCTCTACACAGTTTACGTGTAGTTGACTCAAGTGGTGTTTCATTCTCGGGAAATTCGCAGAAAAAGTTTTGCGACATTAGCTCTTATGAAAGAAAAACAGATATATGGTTGCATGCTCAGTAAGCATTGACGTTGACGACGACCCTGCAACTCTTTACTCCTTGGTAAAATTCCATATGCATTTGAAAATATGTGCATGAAATCTAGCGGACTTTGTCTAATCTCTTCACTCCACCATAGAACCAGCGAGCCACCATCTTTTCACACAAAGCTTGATAGTATCATATGCAATTTTTATAGGAGTGAAAAGGTAAGGAAATGTCCACCAGGTTTCACGCACAGACTGACGATTGCGGAAGGTATTTTACCATAAGAGTAAAGAGATATAGAGTGAAGGCGAATTGTAAATTGTCAGGGTAATGCGTGATGTCAATCATAAAAGGTCTGGCCCAACTGACTTATTGGTATTACACAGTTGAATGTGGAAGGTGGTGTTCGTATTTCACCTAAGAGTTTATCTTTTTACACGAAACAGCTGTTGCCTGTGATGTCACGTCTGCTGTTCGCAGTATGGAATGTTGTGCTGACGTAACGTCGTCATTCGCTTGCGCAGCAATGTTTACAACATTTCTGCTTCTAAACCAGCAAGCTGCCTGCTGCTACAGACCTTGTATGATTGACATCGGATAATGCGGCCTTTCTTTTTTCGACCAGCTCTACAGGGGGCTTATCAAAGGTTTTTTTTTAACTAGCATTTCAAGCCGGTTAGAAGCCAATCAAGAATAACGCAGTAATATTGCATATTTACAGATGCAATATTTCTTAGTCTCTTTGACCTGATTGACTTCCATTCGATTAATTGAGTAAATTGCGATAGTTGAATGTAATGCAAACAATTCGAAGATTTTATGTTTGCGTTGAATAGATGTAAGTAAACATTTTATATGAATAATATTGTTCACTGTGCTATTAGTAAATCAACTTATGAGTGTCATAAAATATTCTGTTGACATTTATAAAAAGTTGGAATTTTTCTAAGAAATCTAGAAACATAACTAGGGTATGTGTACCAGTTTTAGGCCCTAGTGGTCGTTGAATTGACCTTATCTTAAATTTCACATTTTAAAATTCTTTCTAAATTTGTTTTGATACAAGGTAAGAACATATGTTTTGGCAGAAATCTACGCAAATGAAGCCATTAAAATTTATTTCAAATATGGCCCTGGGCCCAAAAACTAGACCACTAGTTCCAATACTTATCCTATGTAAAATAGATTCAAATGATTACTTTCGTTTGTAAATAGTGCTTATTGTTGCTAGAAAATATAACCGTTCCCTTCCTTTGCCTTTTCGATCAATCTTTCCACGTTTTTAGTGCAAAATAATTGGAGTAGATCTTTTTCTCAAAACATTTTGTATTGGCCGCAGCTGAGAAGCATATGGAGCATTGAATCCTTGGGTATTACAGGTACCGATAAGCACTCGATTTGATTTATCGTTTTGCTCGTGAAATTCTTGCGAATGGGACGATGGTCAGCTCAAAACACTGCATAATTTCCGCATAAACCGGGACACTTGTTGCAAAATGATGCTGCTTCTCTTTGAACTTCAAAATTTATGCAGTAAACTCCTAATTTGCGGGGTCGTATTTTTCCTCCTACTAATCCAAAATGAAATCAAAGTTGATGCAATTGGCACCAAACATTTCAAAAAAGTTTAACGGAGAAAAAAAATGGTACATACATTTCCTTCTAAGTAAACAAAAATATTTAAGATTAGAAGAAGTATTGGCGTGGATTTTTCCCACTTTTTTGCCATAACTACAGAAAAACAATACGTATGGTTTACAATGACATTTCAGGATTACTCGTTGGGTGGTCATTGCTTACAAAATCGGCGAAAAATTTATACTTTTTTGATTTCAAACGTTACTAATATAATATTTGTTTGCTGTGTGACGCGATTTGAGGAGCTAGCTATATAGTTAATAGTTAAGGAAAAACCTAGACATAAGTTCAAAAGTGCTAAGAAGACAGAGAATTATAAACCACGCTATAATTATTTTAATAGAATTGACTACCCCCTTGATCCACTTTCTCATTTTACAGCTGGTATAATCAATTTGACAGATCGATGTCTTTCTATACCACTTGAAATCACTGAAATGGGGTCGATTTTTAAATATCGAGTTCCACTTATGTTATGTGACGTTAGGTTAAGTTATACTCGTAGTTAGGTAGGTTATCATTTTTTTCAATTCAAATAAAACACATCCCCAAAGGGGTATTCTGTAAACTAGTTGAAAAACGCAAAAATATCAAATTAAACAAAGATGAAGAGCCAGGTAGGCTACTCAATTAATATGATAAATCAATGTACTACCATAATCAACAGAAATAAAAATAATTTTACTACTACGTGCAACAGAGAGTTCTTTTCCAACCAAGCAGCAGCGAACATAAGCGGCAGTAGAAGCAGAATTTGTAGAGCGAAAGAGGAGAGAATAAACAGTTGTTAGCGTAGTCGTCCCGATCAAGTTTATTGCTGCACACATCCCTGGTTTGGAGCAGCGTCGAACCCCCAGCTCTTTTCAGAGCCCTTACCAGTTGATTTCCGATCGAGGCTTGCTTCCTACACCACCCTGTCGATACAGTCCATTATCAAAAGGGAAAGTTCTCTACCAGTCCGAACAATGACTTTGAACAATATGCGCACCAATCGGTGTGACATTTTTATGAATTCCAATTGAAACGGTCTTGTAGACTAGTGGTTACAGGTGTGATCTTAGTAAACATTGGATCCAGAGTAAAAGCAATTTTATCGACAAAACCATTAAAGATGCATTTTTATAGCTGTCATGTGCAAGGCAGTAAAACACTGCACCAAGGATTAGGATCTGAAGGTCTGGATAGAATCTGAATCCAATTCACCCGATATAGGCTAAAACCCGTCTACTGAACTTAGTGGGTGCATCCATGGGTCTGAAGGATTTTGGAAACGAGTCTAGACAGACAGGTCGATTGAGCTCCATGAACTTCGAGACGCCAGGAGAACTTCAAATGCAAACCCATGGATCTTCGAGGATAGACCTGATGAATTTTAAGATCAGATCCAGAGAACTTCGAGACAGTGGCGTCGCGTAATCTCATTTTTTCACCTGTGCACCAAATTTGTGAGTTGAAGTGAAGTTACGCGACGCCACCGCTTCGAGGGATCAAACGACCACACAACTCTTGCAATTCTGGTAAATTTCTGAGATATCTTCGGGGAGTTTGAGAGCGGATTTTGGGGCAAATATTAAGCTATTTATTCAACTGTCTCTACAGATGGGTTAACGAAATTCCGGGGTAAATCTGCAAAACTTAATGGGCACGCTTAGCGGAGTTACAGGGCAGATCTAGATGGCTTTTGTGACAAATTTGGTGAGACTCATGCTTTTCTGAAACAAAGCCAGACATATTATAGGGAGCATGTGAACTTCCACATCTATGTGATAAAGAGTATAAGTTCATCCAAGACATCAAAAGCATGGCCAGAATACATTTGGAGTAGTCTTTTGTGATCTGCAGCTGGAATTTTTGTAGCGATCTGCTAAACTTTTTTTTTTCTTCTCTTCGGGTCATAATTACTGCGACTGATCTTTTGTGATATACCCGTGTCCTTTGTTTAGTGCCTGTCGTAGTACTTCATTAATATGGAAAAGTAATGAGGTATTCGTTTTCGATACAGTTAAATCATATATAGGGGTAAGCATCCCGTGCACCAGCTTGGACTTCCGGCCGTTCGGAACAAATTGGTTGGTGGTAGGATCAATATCATCAACAACATGGATTTATGCAGGAGAGATCCACTGCATCAAATCTCGTGCAATACACATCTTTTATAATTCGCGAGCTTGAAAAAGGCGAACAAGTTGATGCTATCTACACGGATCTCTCTGCTGCACCACAAGATTGCTGTTGCCAAATAAGAGCGATTAGGCTTTCATGGTCCCCTTCTTAATTGGCTTCGTTCTTACCTCAGCGGTCGTCAAATGTCAGTGAAAATAGGTGACCGTATTTCTCAGTCGTTTCCGGTTTCTTCTGGTGTACCCCAAGGTAGTCATATTGGTCCGTTCGTGTTTCTGCTGGATGATTTTAAACTGTATTTTGTCGTACAGGATCGTAGTGATTCAGTTTTCCTTCAACAACAGCTGGACGTTTTTGCTACTTGTTGTCACAAGAATAGGATGGTGTTGAATGCTTCCAAATGTTCCATCATCACTTTCTGCAGAAAAAAAAATCACCCACCTGCTTTACGTACAGCCTTCATGGTATGGCGGGAGACTACAGTCAAAGATATAGGAGTCATGTTAGATTGTCAACTAACCTTCAAGGAGCATGTGTCATATGTCGCCAGTAAAGCATCTTCTCAGCTTGGCTTTATTGTTCGCTTTGCTAAAGATTTCAGAGACACTTCGTGCTTGAAAACGCTTTATTGTTCACTAGTCCGTTCGACACTGAAATACTGTTCAGTAGTTTGGGCGCCGTTTTACAACAATGCCACGAATCGACTTGAGTCTATTCAGAGGAGATTTGTTCACTATGCTCTTCGTTGGCGACCCTGGAGAGACCCTGTAAACCTCCCTAATTATGAAAGTCGTTGTAACTTGCTTAGCCTACAACTTCTCAGTGTTCGCCGTGACGTCGCTAAGGCTGTCTTCATCGCCGATCTCCTGCGTTCGGACATTGACTGTAGTCCACTTTTGCAACAGCTTAACATTAATATAAGACGAGTCAATTTGCGAACCCACTCTTTCTTTACGATCCCGACGTCTCGCACAAACTATGGTGCAAACGAACCAATTACTAGCATGAGTAAAATTTTCAATAAATGTCATAACTTTTTTGACTTCAATGCTTCCCGTAAATATTTATTTTATAATGTTTTATCATCCTGATTAAGTAAAGACACATGTTTCCTGATTTAGTTTAAGTATATATGTATCAGTAGGATTTTATGTTATCTGTTGATACGAAAAGAAGAGGTTTTCCGCCCACTTGAGAAGGCGCAAGTTTGGTCCTTCTGAAGTGGGCTTTTCATTCTCAAATAAATAAATAAACATAATGATATTGAACCTACTACTAGTTGATTTGTTTCATGCAGTTAGAGATCCAGGGCCTAACTGCGGGATGCTCACTATGCCCCACCTGTTCACTATGCCCCTCCTCCCCCTATTTGCACTTCTCACAAGAAGCTTCATTCAATTGTGATGTTTCGCAATATTCGAAGCGTTCTAGGACCTCTTCAAAGACCTCTCATCAATGAAAATAGGTCTTACATGAATCTTCCTTCCATTGTGATGTTCCGTATCATTTGAAGAGTTCTGAGACCTCTCCAAAGACGCGTCCTTTCATCAATCAAAATTATAGTCGCTATATTTATAGTCTGGCGGATAGAATTTTGATCCATCTAAAAGCGGAACCAATTCAATTAATTGTAGACCAACAATTGAAAAGGTCTTATCAACTTTTATAAACACAACGTTGATTATTATTTCCTCACCAATCGAACGCAAATTACCAGCGTGTTAGTTTGCGTAGGCTAGCCTTGAGTCACGAGAAAATGATTTCCGAGGTTTTGTTCGCAATAGCTGATGTGCTCTTTTCTGTTGTTGGTCGTGATTTGCTCGATTGGTTCTGCCATTTGTCAGCTCAATTGTTTCCCGAGATTCTATTCGGCAGATTATGAGTATAGCGACTATAATCAAAATGGGTCTTACATGAATCCTCATTCAATTGTGATGTTCGGCATCATTTGTAAAATTCTGGGATCTCTTCAAATATGCAACTTCTTAGCAATCAAAATAGGTCTTCTGAGTGAAAACAAGCTGATACTGATAGCGACCATGGATATGGATATGGAACTACCACTCACTGTTTCAAGACAACTGTCGGTAAACTGTAAACTATCCTTGCTGTTCGACTTGATCAAGTTTAATAACCTCTAATTGTACTCAACCTGCCATTGTATGAAGGGCCAAAAACGGTTTGGGTGAATCTGTGGGCAACATCGCCCATGTGCATCCACGGGATAAATGAGAATCTCCTTCCAACAATAGGATCAAAAATTGGTTAAAAAACAGGCCATCGAATAGGAGGATGCCCAATGAGAGGGGAGAAGAACTCGCCCTCTTTTCACGAAATGTTAAAGCCAGGGAGTTGGCATGTCAAGCGATGATACTGATATTTGATCATGCATCGGAACCCTGGTCCGAATCTTCTCTTGTATCCAATCTCAAAAAGCTGATCTACCCGTGCTACGGGACGACCTTTCCATTTCCAATTAGTTATTTTGTTTGGTTATTTGGGTTTCCTAAACATTCCCGTATTTCCTACAACTTCCAAAAAGCATCCACCTCACCGGAAAATCTCGATCCTTTCAGATGAGAACCTTGAAGACATCCCCCGAATGAAGAGTAGCGGTTATTGTCCTCGAAACCCCCATTAAACATATCACAAACTTACTTGGTTGGTGCAGTAGCGCTTCCCCGGTGGTAAGTCCTACTGGAAGCTGCGCTGCAGCCGGAGACATCGACCCGGCCGCTATCGGAGATGGTGGAACTCCGGCAACGGCTACCGGAGATGCGATAGCCATTGGTGTTGATGCTGGAGATGAGGCGACCGCTGCTGCTGCGGGCGTAGGCGTGATGCTGGGCACCGGTGCCGGAGCTGGCGCTGCCGGGGGTGTAGGCGGAGGTTGAGGTATCTTCTGTACCTCCAGGATGTAGTAGGCCGCCGATGGTACCGAGGGCCAGCAGAGTTCCAGCGAGTGTGTCGAAGCACGAACCAACTGGACCCGTGAGGCGGCTGTCGGTCGTTCGACTTCCAAGTACCAGAGATCTTTGCAGCAGACCTGAACGAGATAACGGTGGTGTTACGAAAGTTTGCTCGCAATCGAAATGGCAATTTAGGATAGAGGAAAAAAAAGGATCTAAAAGCGGAAAAAGGGGGAAGCAGCAACAATAGATCAGTGCACGCAAAAGCTAACCTCACTTTACGCCTTCAGAGTGAAAGAATGAAACCCGGCAGAACTGTCAAAATTCACGGGTGACGAAAAGGGACGGGGAGAATTAGGTTAGGTTTCGCGCAGTGATCTATAGATGTCGGCACTTCGTAGAGGGACAAATTTTGAATAAACCGAAAAGAGCAAAAATCAAAACTAATCGAACAAAACACATAGAAATAAAGGTAGTAAAAGAGCTCTTAACTAAATTAAGAATCAGTGTGAATTTGGTAAAGTATATCGTAGTGAATGACATCAGAGTTATGATAATATGGGCTATGTTTAAGGCGAAATTTTGCGTGAATGAATGAGTGAGCAGTTTTGTTTGAGGAAGTCTCAAATCTCACACCAGAGTTCCAATTGTTTCAATTTCCAAAAAAAAAACAAAAATTACAAAAGACCACTCATCGTAGGTCAGTTTACATAACAACGAGCAATGGACATCACGGCCACTTCCGGTGCAGGCAAATAGAATATAAATCTAGAGTTTGGCACTATCGACTAGCAAGCATTATTATAAACAAGCAACGGATAGATTCGACAATGGACTGGTTTCGAAAATAAAGTGTACTTTTCAATATTTCCATTGAAATCGTTCACACCGATAACTTAATTGTAGAAAACAGAGCTCACCCTGACCTGGTTGTTCCAGGCCTTCCTGTAGCCATCGCGTCCGGACCAGATGTACAGCCGGGTGTGGATGCCAACGGCGCAGTGACCGGCTCGGGCCCGGGGCATGTTGTCCTCTTCCGTGTCCAGATCTAGCTCCTCCCAGGTCATGGTTTCTAAACCAAAGAAAACAAAACATCGTTTATTCAGTCGCAACAAAGCCTACAACAATTAGCACCATCAACTTACCGAGATTCAAGCAAGCTAGTGTGTTGGTGCATTTCCATTCTTTTTCGTGTTTCTCCGCTTTCACGTCTTCCATCACCAGTGGAACCCACCCACCGAAGACGTACATACGGTTTCCGATGAGCGTCGAGCTGTGCAGCGACCGTGGCAACGGAAGTGGACCACTGGTTCTTGGCCTTGTCCAAGACATCGTGTCCGTATCGAGCAGCCAGAGATCGCCCAACCGACAGCCGGACATACCACCGTAGATGACCAGCCAGTACTTCTTCTGCTTCTTGTCGTACCACGATACAGCCGTGTGGGACTCCCGAGGCGGAGGACTCTCGCCAAAGGTCGTCGGTATCTCCCACTGCAGCTGGTTGTTCTTAATCTCCAAAATGTACAAATCATTCAGATACTTCGGGATATTGTTCTTCGGATCGTCGCTTTCGTTGGCGAGCCCACCGAACAGGTAGATCTTGTCGCCGACCAGCGTAAAGCTGTGCCCTAACCGTCGGCACGGCGGCAGTCCGGACTCTGGCGGTTTCGGTTTCAATTTCTTCCACTCCCATTTGGTGGCCTGCAGTTCGTACAGTTCGTTCGAGTACTTGCCGTACTCGACCATGCCCCCGAACACCAGGATGCGGGTTCCGTCGACAACGAAACCGTATGCGGCACATCCTGGTGGAACGTCTCCCTTGGTGGCCGGTACGTACCACTGGTTGGTAGCTGTTGGAGAAAAAGAGAAGACGAAGGGAGTTGTGTTGAAATGGTTGTTTCTGAAGGATGAATCATATCAGCATAGGGTATTTCGGTGGGTCATCAGACACAATGTTCGCTCTCGTTGTATACACTTTAATGCATTGCACTCGAGGATTGATCCGCACCGTACCAGGGCTAATCAATCCGAATGCTAATAAAAGGCTGAGAATTGATCATCATTTGTACTGTGGGCTAATCTTTTATTGAATAAGCAGCAATCAACAGAGAACTGGTTAGTAAAAAAGAGACGAACTAGCCTACGGCTGAAAATCTTACAGTGTCTTATTGTTGTTTTACATCAACAGGCTGGATGAAGCCCCAATGATGTTAACCTTATCAACTATGGTAAAAAGAAAAATACATTCAAGCATGGTCATAACATAAAAAAAAACATATATCTTATAGTCAGTTACTCCTGCCGGCGAAAAACAGAACAAAACTTTCGACAAAGCGCATCACGGGAGAGATGAAAGTCGAAAACAGATGCAACTCTGTTGAATGTTCTCTGCAGTCCGCAAATCGCACCGTATGCTCCATAATTTGTGCGACGTAGAGGCAGTCTTAGCATAAGGTTGTTCCGAAGCGGTCGGGGTTGAACATTCAGGTCAATTTGCTTCAGGATAGCCTCACAATCTGTCCTTCCTTGTAGGATATCGGCCACGGTAAGGGCTCTGTTTGTGTCTCTTCTAGTCCGGAGAAGTTCTAGGTCGATAAGTTGACAACGGCTTTCGTAGCTTGGTAATCGAAACGGATCGTTCCAAGGCAATCTACGCAACGCAAAACGAAGAAAGCGACGTTGAACAGATTCAATTCTCTCGGCACCGTTGTTGTAGTTTGAGTTCCAAACCGCTGAACAATACTCAAGCGTCGATCGAACAAGCGAACAATAGAGAGATGTTAGATAGTAGATATCAGTGAAGTTTTTAGCTACCCTAAAAATGAACCCTAAAGTTCTTGACGCCTTATCAACAACATATGCAATGTGTTGCTTGAATGAAAGCTGCGAATCCAAGATCACACCCAAGTCTTTCACCTGATTCACGCGTTCGATTGTCGAGCCAAGTAGGTCATAGCTAAATATTATCGGTTGTTGTTTTCGTGAGAACGTTTATAGCGGAGCATTTGGCTGGGTTCACTACCATTCTGTTTAACCTGCACCAACTAGCGAATACATTCAGCTAACGTTGAAGAAAGTGACAGTCAGCAATGGAGCGGATTCGTAGGATGATTTTAAGGTTATCTGCATATGATAACCGAGGAGCTTCGATGACCAGATGCACGTCGTTGAAGTACAGTATAAAAATCAACGGTTCCATGTGGCTTCCCTGAGGTATACCTGATGTGGCGAAGAAGCTAGCTGATCTGCAATCTCCTATGGCAACTTTTAGTTGCCGACCGGTAAGATATGATCGAAACCAACTCAGAAGATTACCGCATACACCGAGTCTGCCGAGTTTAGCAATCGCAATAGCATGGTTCAACTTGTCGAATGCTGCGGATAGGTCTGAATAAATAACGTCCGTTCGAACCCGATCCGACATGCTTTCGGTTATATACGATGTGAGACACAGCAGATTGATGTTTGTAGAGCGGCCGACAGTAAACCCATGTTGATCAGCACTCTGCTTGCAATGGGACAGCAACGGTTCCATAATCACTAGCTCGAATAACTTCGAAACGGCACTTAACGATGTAATTCCTTGATAGTTATCCACAGCTCGTTTCCTTCCTTTTTTGTGGACGGGAAACATGTGCGCAAATTTCCAGCAAGATGGAAATATGCCACCTGAGAGAGACATTCGGAACAAAATACAGATGAAACTCCATCAGGTCCAGGATTGAAGGATGACTTGAGCAGAGACGCGGCCTTAGAAATCATTTCTGCATTAACATCAATTGCACCCAGCCAGCGTTTGATTGTTTACTGGAACCTTCCTGGCAGCCAGGTTAATATGGTCGTCAGTTAGTATCTCATTAGTGAATACACTGGCAAACTTTTCGGGAAAAAGGTGGAATATATCCTGAACAGTGGCAGTAACTTCTCCGTTTGATTCCATAGACGATGGGAGGCCGGATTCCCTACGTTGCTCGTACACGTAGTTCCAAAAGGATTTCGGGTGTAGATTAAGTTTGCGCTGGATGCCTCGTTGGAAACTTGAAAAGCATTCACGACTGACTCGCTGGTACATGTGATTTAGCCTCACATAATGTAGTTTCAGAGGAAGCGTGCGATACTTCGTAAATCTTCTCAATGCTGCTCTCTTGATTGACTTCAACCTACGTAGCTCTCTCGTCTGCCAGGGAGGGTGAGACATTTTGTGGTGAGTTCTTTTCGGGACGTGTCTGTCAATGACATATGCCAAGACATGTGAAAAGGTTTGCGCTGCAGCCTCAACGTCATCTGGATCAAGGATGTTCTCCCATACCATGCTAGACAATACATCTATGATGCTACGGTGGTCAGCTTTACGGAAGTCATAAGAAACCGTAGCAGGATAGTCGTCGAAATCACGCACGAGTTTGTCCTCAACAGTGACAATTAGAGGAGGGTGATGTGGAACTAGCTTAATTAGTGCACAAGGAGCCGAGGAAATTGATGGAGCTCTGTCCTGTGTACTCACGAAGCAGAGGTCCAAACTACGACCATTTTCGTTAACTACATGGTTAATTTGAGAAAGCTTCGCTGCGCTGTAGTTGTCGAGAAGACTAATAGCTCATGCGTGAAATGTACAGCTATCAGGATCTGGGTACAGGAATCCGCTATGAGATGGACTCCACGAAACGCCTGGCAGATTGAAGACACCAAAAATGAATATCTCATCAACTGGAGTGGCACTTTCGACAACTGTGAAAACTGACCGACAGTGAGTATCGATGAGTTCATTGTCCCGGACTCGATCATGTGGAATGTACAGAGCGCATAGAAATAGTGTGCGATCACCCAGATTGATGGCTGTCCAAATCTGCTCCACATAGTTCCATGAGTCGTTCTCGATGGCCTTTGCCATCGATGGCTGTTATTAGGATTCCGATCGCAACGAAAGACCTCGTAGTCAGGACCGAAGACTTGACTGGAAAGCGTTCGATAATCGAGCCACGTTTCGCACAGGACAATAATATCGTAGCAACGATCCGATACAGCTAGGCGGTACTCTTCAACATCAGAATTCATTCCACCGGCGTTTTGGTAGAAGATCACGACGTCCTGCTTGCGGCAAGGAATCGAACGACTGCTCTCCCTGGAAATCACAGATACATCAGGCAATAACTGACCATCATCAAGTCTCATTGGATACTCGCCTCTCCACATCCGACAGCAGGTCCGGAACGACTATGATGAACGAAGGCTGCTGATGGCAGGACTGAGACGGAGGGATTGGGGGCTTCCGTGGGGCTTTCTACGGCGCGTTCCGGGTTTCCAGGATTGGGAGTTACAGAGGCATCATCACAATGACTAACATAGTCAGAATTGCTGAAAATTTGATCGGCAGCAGACAGTGAATAGTCAATATATTGATTGTACTTGCTTGTAGAGGCAAGGTGGAAGACTCCTGATTCATATCCAGCCACAGGTTCAGGACGACTATGTTGAACGCTGGCGGGAATCGGCACGACTGGGCTGGAGTAACCAGGAGCTTCCAAAGAGCGGTCTATTGTGCGTCCCGGAGATGAATTAGGATTGTTCGAACAGTAAAGCGGATGTTGTGAATGAGCAGTATCAGAAGTGCTTTTCAACTGGAAACAACCGGCAGGTGCTTGAAGCGTTGCACTGGAACACGGAAACTGATCAGGCAAATGACTGTAACTAATGTATGCAAACTTGCCTGAAGCCGATGCTTGGGAGACCCCACCACCGAACTCGACCGCAGGGCCAGAACGACTTTGATGGCGGGAAACAGCTAGCGCGACTAGATCGAGTGGTTCGAGGTCTCCTGTAATGCGACAGGCAGTGCCTTCTGGTCTACAGCTCTCCAATTCACAACGCAAAATCCAATTCTGAATCAGCAGACTGTTCTTGCTTAGTCATTTCCTTCCTATGCTCAGCGTGTGCGATTTCCTGTCTCTCGGTGATAGAATTAATCACACTGCCAAACGACGAGACGGCAGTTTTGAACCGAGCACATTTCATCAGCTTCGCGCACTCGTTACACATCCAAAACAGGTTCGGGCTAGTGTGGACAATGTTCAGAAAAGCCTTATTCAGCTTTTTGCCGCCGCACTTTAGGTGAATCATCCTGTCGCAAAAAGCCATGCAGGAGACGGATTCTTCATCGCCTTTATATGGGTTAGCGCATTGGTCACAGGCGGAAGTCATGCTGACTCAGTTTCCAAAAGTGATTTAGAAACAGCGGTGGAGATGCTCTAATACGCAAAGAGGAATTGGATTCTCAAGATCGCCCAATGCTAGTCGTGTACAATATGTCCGATTGGATAATTTTTTCACTGTTTTCACAACACAAAATATGCTCTAATTAGACGATTATCGCAACGAACTACACTTTCCACTAACAACCAGTACAATTTAACAAGTATACCGAACGGAAAAAGACGAATAACGATAGCCCGTGTGATAAAAAATTGACAAATTTACAAGCGTACTTTGGTTCACGTGTAAAGGGCCTTAGAAAGTTTGTTTACAAATGCTTTTGTGCCGTTATCAAATGTTATGCCTGATGTCACAATAGAAGCACGCCACAGTGGAAATCCCGAGCCATAGTTCAAACATGTATCACAAATCAAAATGAAGCACATATAAGATTAGTAACATTGTATACATATATGTACAAAAATGGTGTTTAACATTGTTCCCTGAGTAATACTTCAATGAAAACAACAATGAAAGGAGCACCGTTGTGCACTTTCTAAAATATTTCAATAGTATAATTCCCTTGCAAACCCAAATAAGTCTATCTGAGTAAAAATAAATAAAATAAGTGCAAGGTGCAAAAACTAGCCAAGGGGAGGGC